GGAAGACCACTTCATGAATGAAATTCGTTCTCATATTTGTTGAAGACGTGGTCGCAAAACTGTTAGCAGAATGTGATGAATGAAAGGCGATAAGGAACACAGCGTGATGACGGAACAGTCAGATTTTGGTCTCGGTTTTGTGGAGAGTAACCTGATAACCGTGAAGGCAGGCGTGAACGGATGTTATTCGGCGTTCGCGCTACTTCCACAACACTTCTACATGCAAGGTGGGCTGTTCCCCTCCTTCTGCTCAGCTCGTTTGCGACATTAGTCATATCTCGTGCTTTTTGCGTGAAACTGAGCTATTCTTAGCGGAAGAAGTGAACCACTAACTCCTTAAAAGTTTTCTTCGCAGAGCGGCTCCGAGCGATGTATGACGCCTCCCGTTCTGTTATAGGTAGGATATGGAAGTGTGAAGAAGAAGCGAAGAAGAAAGGTGCAATCTACATAAAAAGAATTGAGCTTATTCGCTGGTCGCGTCTTCTATACCGATCCGACGTTGTAAATAGCGGTGCTTGAAGGCACACTTCGTGATCGAATTGGTGTGTTATGTTGTTCGGAAATTAGACGAGAAGTACGAGGGAGAACCTCAGCGAAAAAGCAAGAAGCGTCACAGAAATCACAGGCGCTACGAGGGAGGGAAAACGCGAGAGGGCGCAGAAGCCACGTATGCTGCGATTGTAAGAGTGGCAGCGTTTTCAGCCTTCCAACAAAGGCATTACATAGCTTCCATATATAAGATTTCTAGAGATGGTGGTGGATATTGTTGTTGCGGCATTCGAGGCGCTGAAGGGGGTTGTTTTTGAATGAATTCGACATTTTTGGCGAGCATTTGGAAACGATGGCCAAAATGGACAAAATCAGAGTTATCGCCATAGAGATTCCTGCCCCTATTCTCGTCAGGCTGGCTCTTGGATGAAAAAAGTGGGCGGAGGTTTGGGCATGTCGACTATTTTAGGATCAAATAAATATATAGAAACAGCCATGGTAAATACGATAGAAACAGCCATGGTGGTGAACGTGGTGGTCCGGGGGTGTGATGGAGAGTCGTTTGTGAGTGCTCCCTATCTAAGTCCGTGAGTGTCACGGAGAAGATAGTGGCGCTCACCAGTAAGCAGGCTCTAACGGGTTTCCTGAGAAAGAAAGCGAAGGAGGGAAAAGGAGACTGGGAAATCCAGCATGAAAACTGGCCGGAGGGGCTGGTCTCAGTTATAAAAATTGTACTACATGCTAGAGCTACACAGTCACAGTCAGTTTGCAGAGTTCTTTTGCTATCAATGGACATTTGGGCGCTCATCCGGTAAGGGGGGGGGGCATTGTGATGCAACGTCTAATAGCTGCCCTCACTGCCCACCCCCCCCTGAACTGGCTTCACTCCCCTGGCTCACGGGGTCCCGTACTTCGAGAAACCTGTGCGCCAGGGGGAGTGTAGGCAGTCTAGGGGGGTGGGGGTGAGGGCAGCCACTTGATGCCCCCCTTACTGGATGAGCGCCGATTTTGATGCAATCATACTAGCCCTAAGTGACTTACGCATGCGTAAACTAGCTTCGGTCACTAGGGCGCTTTGACTCACCCTTCCCTTATCCATAGTCCCCTTCGAATTTGAGCCCTTTGGCCAACACATCACATTCTTCTTTCACTCCCCTATTATCGAAACATCCCCGTCCTCCTGTCACCTCAAAAATGCATTCGAAGCAATCATATTTAGCAACTATTGAACGTAGTTCTAGACGAAAGTAACGATTTCCAGCTCAACTGATCCAAATGGCCAATTCGATGGACTGCAGCTGCCAAAGCGATGAATACGGTTCAAAGTTCCGTCACTTTTGGAATAGCGAACAGATGCGGGTTGGCGCTTTTCGTGGCATGATCGCTTCTCCTATCAGATTTTAGCGAATTCACTGAAACATATCTAATCGAAACTTTTTCAGGGCTTGGATTGGGTGGTGCATACAATCCATCGGCATTCAGGACTTTCCCCACAGGGCAATATATTGACGCATCTGGTAGAGATTCACTACAGATACATATTAACCCTTACAAACTTGTAATCGATGGTTTCAGGTATACCAATCGATCAACTCGGTCATCTGCAAGGTGTCCCCCTAACCGTGCCTTACCAGACCAGACTCCAACCCCTAATGAAACATCGCTTTTATCGAAGGCGCTAAAGGGATGTTCTTGAGGATGATTCCATCACTTACTTTCATGTACATGTTTTTATTCGCGTTACTATTCCGAATTTCATTGTTGTCTTTCTCATCTCACTTCCCCGATTCCTAACCGTGCAATTGCGGCTGGCTATGTTTTTTTTTGACTATCTATCGGTTACAAATATTTGGTGATCCTTGGCGGCTACCACCACGATTGGAGCAATGTATGAGATAAGCTTAGAAATCACTATCGAATCCAAAACCTTTGAAGTTGCAAATTAAGTTCTAGAAATCAACTACAAAATCGTTCTTTCTTTTTTTCAAAATTTCATATTTCTCCTTCGTCCTCGTTCGAGGAGCCAATACAACGACAGCTTGTATTCTCTTACCTAAACTATATTTCCAGCTGCATACATGAACCCTCATGCAGTAGTGAGCTGAAAATAGTCTATGAAGATATACATTATACCACTTGAAAGGAATCCTTCGCGGAAATTCTTGCATTCTTTCTCAACATGAATGTATCAGTTGTGATCACTAGATGCAATACACAAAGTTTTACGCATGAAGGTTCGGTTTCCGAAGAGAAACAAACTCACGAAAATCCATTCTATGGACATCGAAGGTAATTCGGGCGGAGCCAAAGGCGGGGCTTACAAGGGAAGGATGGTAGGTCGAAGTGGCCGTTCGAAATGAAATGTATACCTCCTGATGCGTCTCCAGACGCTGATTCCAAATCTGCCTTCCAAATCTGCTAAACGACTCTCCGAACGGAGTTATGAAGCGTAATAGCTCAGTGGTGATGGTCCGGGGTGGCAGGTAAAAGCTCGTAGGATCGGTTCCTTTGCAAGTTTGTTGCTTTGCTTTTGTCCGCAACACTTCTAGAGACAAAAGCAAAGCAACCAATTTGCAAAGGAACCGATCCTACGAGCTTTTACCTGCCACCCCGGACCATCACCACTGAGCTATTACGCTTCATAACTCCGTTCGGAGAGTCGTTTAGCAGATTTGGAAGGCAGATTTGGAATCAGCGTCTGGAGACGCATCAGGAGGTATACATTTCATTTCGAACGGCCACTTCGACCTACCATCCTTCCCTTGTTAGCGTGAGTCCACATTGGGGCGCCTACTTATCAGGCGACGCAATGAAAGAATCGGGTTAAAGCGTGCGATTTTGGAGAGTAGAGACAAAATCGATCGATAGAATAGGATGGAGTAGAAGTGTGAGATGTGAATGCAATAAGCAAAAGGCCAGAAAGAGTTTCTAGTGAAGGCACTCCAAGAACCAAGTGGAAGCATCCCCGTCGCCAGCATTTGTGAAAGACGTCCGTGGGCACTTTGAACGCGTAGCAGCCCTTTCGATTTTTCGAATTTTTTACCAAACAAAAGCAATATTTCTGTTCTTTTCATTCTTATCGTGGATAATGAGTCTCAAGCCAGTGATTTATGGCTGAAATAGAATCATGATTTTTCCGCAAAGGATTCCTTAAAGCACACGCACCTGGATTAGGCTGCGCCCTCACTGTTCCATCCGGAGGTTGTAGACAGTGCGGACAACATTGGTGTCGCCGACCCTTATGCCCCTTTAAACGCGCGCAGGCGAAGGAGCTTAGTCCGTTACCGCAAACTCCCACTTTTGTTCGCAACGCCCCACCCACTGCTATCGGTATGCGGCGTGCGCTGCCTTGGCAAAAGGCGCGGGCGCATTCGTGAGGCAGCGCTATCCCAACGCGACCCAATGTTATTGGCACAGGAGCAAGTAGAGTTAGGTTCGTGAAACTCGTCCAATTCGCCTCTTCTCTATCCCAAGGTGGAATGTGGCTGAAATAGGGGAGGTCTCTGTACGGGGCGTAATCGGTGGTTTCGTTTGCTTTCCTTCTCTTTTACAGACCACCTCCCACCTATAGCTTCATAACTGAACGCTTTTCCACACCTATTTTATCCCGAATCTTGCCTTTAAAGAAAAGTTAGTCGAGAGACAATCCTCCTTGAAGCTACTAATTTTTACTCTCATCTGCTAGAGCTTTTAGCCCTGCCGGCGATACTGTCACTAGCAGGCCTTACCGCACAATCACGGCAGAGGTGTAGATGCAGATAAACCAAGCAAATATACAATGAAAGGCTAAGCTAGGCCGCAACGGGTGTCCGCAGTGTAAGTTGTAGCGCACAAGCGGTGGATAAATTTTTGATTTGATTTTGAGCTGGTTTATAATTTTTCACAGCTCAACGGAACGTACTTGACCAGCAGGCGACATGTTAAGCTGATGAACAAGTTGTAAGGAAGTGGCTTCGATGAATGTTAGGAGCGCTAGTGCGTGACCAAATGAATTACAGTTATGTCTCTGAAGATCCTAGCAGAAACTGCCGAAAGAAAATAACTGCTGGAAGATAAGCGTAGAGTGGGCCCCAAACTTCGAAAGGCCTACACTACATCGTAGAGAATCATGTTTGCGAAACATAGACAGCACAAAGGCAACGAAATCCAGTAAGCCTTAAAGCAACAATCCAGGAACGAATTCGCGGGTAAGGACCACCTATAATGACGTTGCAGGTGAGAAGTTGGTCAATGGAGAAAGAAAAAGTAGAAAAAAACGTCGGGCAGGGGCTTAGACAGGGACTCCCCCTGCCGTTTAGGGAGACGTGTCGCAACGACCGCTAGTCGAGCAAGCGCTCTGCACAGCTGCTTGGAGGCGGCCCCACCACGGATCGGTGGATCCGCCCCTCTTGAAGGATTTCGACTGCTTCCAACGCCTTTCAGAGGTAAGTTTTGAAGTTTGTGACATTTCCCATGAACTCCAATCAGGCTGAGGCATGTTTCCACCACTTGAAAACCAAATGGTTGAAACCCTGCCTGGACTGTTGCTTTAAGAGTGATATTCTATGGACGTGTTAACTAGATGGTGAAATTAAGATCTTGTAAGAAAAGCCTAAAAAAATTATCACGAGGAGGCGTACATTTCAAAGAAGCTACTACTCATCGGTGCATTTTCTCGGTCTACTTCCGGAAAGAAGCCTCTCATTGAAGGTAGCAAACGAGCTATACTATTTCTTCGATCAGGGACGGTAGCAATCTACCCTTAACTCGGAATCAGAGGTGGTGATTAAGGGCTTTTATCATAGAATAAGGATGACGGACAATCGCGAACTAACCCTGCAGTAAATCACGAGCTTCCCTACATTATATGCAAAACTCTGCTGTCACCCGGATTTGAACCCTCGACCACAAGATTGGTAGGCCGCAGCACTACCTTTGCACCACCGAGCGCTTTAGCGTTGTGATGAGCTAGGCGCACATAAAGAGATGAGCTAGGTTCGCGCGATAACAAACTTACCTGTATTAACGTGTTGCATCATCTAGAGTCAATACACGAACACTACATTTGCCAACAAATGCGATGAATTCCGAGTTTCCGAACGCATACACTAAAACGCTCTTAATCTAGTCAGCTTATTTAGATTTTAATATGGCCTGCATCCTTTTGGCGTGTTTGGCGTCAAGTGTGGTGTGGTACTTGCGGCTACCACAACTGTAGTACCGGCTAGGACACTTTAGTTTGCGCCCTTTTGTGATACGGTAACCCTCGATGAATGCTGAAGACGGCCTCTGTCGTGTTTTTTGGTGTTTCTTCTTCGAATATAGCGGTAAAGGGATGATAACAATCGCGGCTAAATCTACACCGAGAAAGAACTAACATATTGGATCGGATGGGAGTTCTTCTTGTCGTCGCGCACTAGAAATCTGAACCAACCCATCCAGATGGTAAATCCACAAGCGTCTTCTAAATAATAGATTAGTAAGTAGCTTCCGATATCAAGCGTTTCCAATGAGGGCGAGTCATTGGGCCAACGGAACCTTTACTATTCATTTCATGCAGCTGAACCGATACCGATTTCTCCTGGAAAACACCTTTATCGTCCCTCCTATAAAGCCGTTGCATGGATATCCTGATCCAAAACTGCGCCCTAGTTGGCACTATCGCAAATTCCGGGGCATCTTCTAGGATAAGCCTACGAAGGGCAGGAACGTCGGGGAAAAGGAAAGTACTTAGGCATTCTGGAGTCGCCCCTCTCCTGCTTGCTTGCTTGGTCCTGATTTCAACAAAAGGAGATATTTCACGCAATTTCGAATGCACTGCCACCACAATGCCCCCGTATCATGCGATAGCGCCCTGCAGTTTTTCTAGTGCACGGTCCGTATGGTAGCAGCCGAACACGAAATCACTGCCTTTTCAAGCCATCTATGTTCCTAGGGCATTGTCAGCATATCTGACCAGCCACGATGTTGCAGTCTTTGCGAGGAAGTGGATCAACCAGAACTGCAAATATTTTATGCTTTAAATAGAAGTGTTACAATGTTCAGTAGCATAGCAGCTATTAATGAAGTGAGCTTATAAAGAAATTAACGGAAATATTCATAAGACACGATGTCTTCTACTGAAAGAGAAACAGGAGCTAATATTGGCTAGCTAATAGCCGAGGTCTAAAATTTAGACAATACTTGCTGGAACAAAGACGTAAAGCAAACTGATATAGCTTGCTTCATTTTTATTTCCTCAGCTTCTTGTAATCTTTTCTCCTCTTGTTCTCTTTGTTCTCGTTCTCGCGACTCTCGCTCCTTAGCTTGCATTCGTGCTTTGTCCGTTGTCAGTGACATTCGTATCTGCAACACGGTAACGGTAAGAATGTGCACTTCAAATCATACCAAGTACTTTCATTATGGTGGCTAGAATTACGACAGATACAGAAAGCGCGTATCATAAGTGGAAGTGAAAAATTGTATGCATTTTTGCTTACTCAGTGCAGCCGTGAAAACAAAACACTAATCAAAGAAAGAGTAAAACCAAAGAAAAGGTGACTTATTAGAAACGCACTCCTATGCTTGTTCCTGTCAAATTCTCTCACTCTCTGGGAGAGTCGCCTTTTCGGCCTTTTCCGTGTTTCTGATAGTTGAATAGG